TTATTATTAATTTTAATGAAAATTTACAGAGACTTTGGATTTCTATTCATTCATTGTTGCACTTTTCTCGCTGCCCAACCCTCCCTCTCAGCTCGCTCTTTTTGAAAAGTAAAAGAAAAATTATTTCATTGTTAAATCCCTCCCCCCAAGTCCACTCCATTATGCTGTCTTCGTTCAGGACTCCTGTCATGATAATTGTACCTAATCACATAGCCCTTTTAAACAATTCTCTCCCTCATCTGTTTCAATACAGTATACATAATTTATCCATTCTTTCTTAGTCTCCCCCCAATCCTGTTGTCAGTCCCATTTTACAACAGTGGCACTAGGCAGTATTTGTCGTTTCGTGACTGAGATATTTCACTTAGCATAATGTCTTCCAGGGTCACCCATTTTGAATAATATTTCATGAGTTCCTTGTTTTTCAGTGCAGCATAGTATTCCATTGTGTGAATATACCAGAGCTTCTCTATACGTTCGCTTGTTGACGGGCACTTGGGTTGTAAACCAAAGCAAGCACTGACTGGGTAGCTTTTCATAAGACTAGATCCTTTCCTTTCCTAGGAGTCTGTAATGAAGTATATATTAATATGATGGCTTTTTACCTTTTTTTTTTTTTTTTTTTTAGTGGTGAGAAAAATTTATTACATTTAGAATTAGCCCGCTGGACTCAGTTTAGATGATCCCAATTTTGTTGGCAACATCCAAAGCATCATAATCAGGAGCAAGTCGAACATAGGCCTTCTTCTCTCCATCAGGCCTAATCAAAGTGTTGACCTTGCCACATCAGTGTCATAGAGCTTCTTTACAGCTTGTTTAATTTGGTGCTTATTGGCCTTGACATCCACAATGAACACAAGTGTGTTGTTATCTTCTATCTTCTTTATAGCTGACTCAGTGGTCAGGGGAAATTTGATGATGGCATAGTGGTCAAGCTTGTTTCTCCTGGGAGCGCTCTTCAGGGGGTATTTGGGCTGCCGTCGGAGTCTCAGCATCTTCGGCCGCCGGAACGTGGGTGATGTGTAGATCTCCTTTTTTTTTTGGCTGTGGACGCCCTTCAGGACTGCCTTCTTGGCCTTCAATGCCTTTGCTTTGGCTTCAGTTTTGGGAGGGGCAGGGGCTTCCTTCTTCGCTTTCAGCGCCATCTTCGTAGAAAAGTGGCTTTTTACCTTTAAGGAAAGAAATATAAAGAAAATGGCTGTGGCAATCTAAGACTTGGGTGAAACAAATTGTGATACTTCAGTTTCTAGGAAACAATTCAAAGCGAAATTCTCTTCTCATGTGCAGCCTTCACTTGCAGGAATAACTAACAACAGTCTGTCAGAATGGAGAACCTTAACTCTAGCGTGAGAGCTATTTTACAACATGATCAATCAGGTGATGTGTAGGTTTTTCAATTACTATCAATACAAAAAAAAAAACAGTTTAATTCCCATATGTGAAGAGTACTGAGAGAACATACATTTTTGAAGAAACAAATTGTGAAGCACTATCTGACACAACACTGTCTGAGACAGAATATTTAGAATCAGGTCAGCACTTGATTAGATTTTCCATCATCCTGCGCTCTTACTTGATCACTGAAAAAGGTTAGGCGTCTGTCCAAAATTGGCCCACTCTTGGTGGCAAAGCAAAGCAAAACCCGTCATCCTTGAGGTTTTCAGTCTCCTTCCCTTTTTGCCTTACGATAAAGACTCTAATAAATTAGTAATAATTCAAAGGTCATAGATATGATATTAATGCAGCTTTTTAAAAATATGTATTTCAGCTTGCTACACTTGAATTCCCTCCAAAAAAACTATTTGGAAACAAGGATGAACGTGTGATTGCTGAGAGACGAAGTCACTTAGAGGTAACAGAATTCATCTTTTGTTTCTCTGCTGGATGTAGAAAAGTTGCTGTGATTGGGCAATAATAATGATTCTGATTAAACGTTGTTGCTTTTACTTGTGACAGTGAGGTGCTGCGTCCTTAACACAGGGGATGGCAGCATCAGATTATAAAATAATGATGCCAGTTTATTTAAACTATAAACCAATCTCTGCCTTCTGAGTGAGTCGAAGGCTTCTGTGGTTTATAAGATGTGTTTATTCTAAGGGTTAGGAAGCAATTTGTGAGTGAGAACTTAAATATTCATCATAGACAAATGGTGTCAATGCAAGATGGGAGTGCAGAGCTGGCTGCAAAACTTAGCATTAATTAAGCAAAGATTTGTAGTAGTATTGCATATTTCTTTTTCATGATAGTTGGAAGCAAAACGACATACTTCTTATTTTTGTGATGGTTAGTTTTTATTTATTTAAAGTTTTTGTAATGTCTTGAGTCTGCTTCAAGTAGAAATGTAGTTTATCAAAGTGTTTTTCTGACTGACTCCCTCTGTGCCATTGCAATTTATTGATTTATTTATATACTTTGGGGTTCTTATTAGGATAGAATTGCTCATTTCGTTTGAATCTGATGCTAACAAGTCTCAATCCAGGTACTGAGGCCTTGCACCCACCAGTAGGTTTCTTTGAACAGCAAGAAGGACATATGGTCACAGGTGTCCTTAGCTGCTGGCTCCTCTGTTACCACTTTAAACCATGGAGGCACACAGAAGGACAAGAGAATAAATCAGTCACTACTATCTTTGGTCAGCAAGCTTTTTGTCAGCTCATTGTTTAAGAGTGAAAATAATAACGCCTGTTGAATTAATTCAAGTTTGAAAAGAGCTGAGAGAGTCCTTTCTCAATTTTGAGTTGCTATGTAAAAATAATTTTCCACAATATTTTACTTAAGTGTGATATCAATAATACTGTTCAATATTTATCTCATTCTGTTGGATCATTTCTTTAAAATGGGCATATATACATATTTCTTCCATTTGATTTATCAAGTAGCTATTTCCATTTCTTCACATAGGTGAGTGAGTGTTACCTATTCACACCCATTTATTGAAACATTTCAGTTGATATTCTGCCAATTCCTGGAGCCGTTTAATGCAGCTTGGACTTTTCCTTCTGGATTACCAGTTGGTTCTTTATCATATACTAAATAGTGAATATTTGATCAGTTCTTTTTGGTGCTATGATTCTATATTTGACTTTCAATCTTCTTTTGACATTTCCTACATTGTTCTGTATTTTTCCCATAGAACACTTCACTGTTGCAATTCAAGGCTTGACTCTTTTCTTTCTTTTTTTTTATATAGCTTTGAGAAATCCCATGTGTGCCCTTCCCTTTTAGTTTTCTCAGTCCAGGTCTCTGCTGCTGCTTCTTTTTTTTTTTTTTTTTAACTTTAACACTTTCCTTTGTCTACTCAAGGTGCCTGCTAAAGCCTTCTGTTCACCTCTCTTCATCATTACTCTCCTTTGTTTTAGCTTCTCAGCATTCTAGAGGGCGTCTCAACATCCACTTTGACAGCAGTTTGGTCTATTATCTCCCCACTGAGCTTGTGCTCTTAATTCCACACCTTGTCTGGTCTGTGGCTAGAGCATCATAGCTGATCTTCAGAGCGTCTCCATGTTCTAGGTCCTCTTCTGACTCACATGGACTTTATCAATTATATTTTCAACTTGAACTTGTTTAGGAGCAGTTGATGGCCTAGTCCACAGGAGGCCATAGTCCTAGTTCTTACTAATGAAATCAAGCTTCCTCAGTGTTCCTTTCCAAGGAAATAGTTGATTAGATTCCATTGTATCCCATCCAGTGAATGGCAAATGTGTTGTTGCAGTTGCTACGCGCCATCTTGCTGACTCCCGTTCCAACTGACCGTTTCCAGTCCTGCACCATCTTCACTCTTTCTCCTTAAACCTTTTGTTCCAGTACCTGTCTCCATCTCATCGAAGCACCTCTTCTTCTTCACTGACCCTTTCTTTTCCAAGCATGATGTTCTTCTCTAAGAACTGATACCACCTGATAGCATGCCCAAAGTATATGAGATGAAGGCTCACCATCCTTGTCTTTATGTAGCACAGGTAAGGTTTGTTACTGAAAAAGATATTTGCAAATATCATGCTCAGAAAAGTGGAGGATTAGAGAAAGAGAGGAAGGTCCTCAACAAGACAGATTGACACAGTGACTGTCACAGGGATTATAGCATCTCTGAGATTGTGAGGATATTGCAAGATAGGGCAGAGTTTAGAACTGTTGTTCATAGGGTAACTGTGAGTTGCAATTGACTTGAAGGAACCTCACAACAATAACAACATGTTGTTGCTATTCAGGGTTCTGTCATGAGATCTCCGGTGGTGTTTCTGCCACCAAGGCTGTTTTCCAACTCCCTGACTTTCTTGATTTCTAGATTTCACATTCCATTTACCAGTAATTATCATGCATCCTGGATTGCATTTTTTTTATACATTTCAGACAGAAATGGATAGAAAGCTTCAATTTCTTCACCCTTGTCTTTAGTAATCAGTGCATAAATCGGAAGAATGATTGTGTTAACAGATCTTCCTTGTATGGCTGTGAATGGCATGTTGTCACTGGCAGCATTGTATTCCAGTATAGATCTTGAATGTTCTCTTTGAAAATGAATACATCTCAATCCTCTTCAATTTTTCATTCCCAGCATAATAAGTAATACACCACCGATTCAAAAAAGTGAGTACAAAACAATTTTGCATCATCAGTGAATGTTGTTGTTGTTATTGTCATTGTTGGTAAGTGCTGTCCAGTTGTAGGCGACTCAAAGTGACTCTATGAACAAAAGACCTGAACACCTGTATAACTTTCATCCTTTCTCCAGATTCATAGGGTTTCCGGAGGCAAGCTATTTCCAAAGTGGATGCCACTTCTGCTTCCAAGCTTTTTTGTTTTAGTCAGGAAGCTCCACCAAACACTGTCCACCATGGGTAACTATTATTGCATTTGACACATCAGAGTCACAGTGTTCAGCTTCACAGCCACCACCAGTTACCTCTGTAAAGCAAGTGGACAGACCAGGGATATATGACCTAGAAGAATGACCAAAAACAGTTATAAATAGGCCTATGAGCCATGGATTAAAGTCACCCACCTTTGCCTTGGTAGCATCACTTTGTGTCCACTAGGCCAACTGATCTCTTTCTATGCTGTTGTTGTTGTTAAGTGCCATCGAGTTGTAGGCGACTCATAGCGACCCTATGAATGAAAGACCTGAACGCTTGTATAACTTTCATCCTTTCTCCAGGTGCATAGGGTTTCTGGAAATTTTTATATATCCTAGACAAATGAACTGTCATTGTAACAGAATAAGGGGATACTGCTTAGTTTAAAGTTAAGAAAGGTATATGTCAGGATTATATCCTTTTTCCATACCTACTCAGTATGTATGCTGTGCGAATAATTTGAGAATCTATATGAAGAAATTAATTATTCATGCAAAACCTATACCTTGACCAAAAAGCTGTTGTCCAAACAGCAAGAAAACACTCCATGGTTTAAAATAAGGAAAGTTGTGCTTTAGGGTTGTATTCTTACTCCAAACTGATTCAATTTATATGCTAAGCAAATCATTCAAGAAACTGGATGATATAAAAAAGAACATGGCAACAGGACTGAAGAAGACCCCACATCAACTTTGGTACAACTTTGTTTGCTGAAAATAAAGAGGACTTGAAATACTTGCTGCAGAAGACAAAAATCCTCACCATGGGATCAATAGAAAGCCTCATGATAGATGATAAAAAGATTGAAGTTATAAGTACTTTCATTTTACTTGAATCCACAATCAGTGCCATTTTTACAGCAGTCATTAAATCAAAGGACATGTTGCATTGATAAAATATTCTGTCCACCTTTCCAAAGTGTTAGAAGACAAGGATACTTCCAGTTTGAATACTAATGTGTGCCTGATCCAAGCCATAGTCTTTTTCTCTTGGGCATCTGAAAGTTGGACAGTGAATGACAGGAAAAGAATCCATGCCTTGAAGTTGTGGTATTGGAGAAGAGTACTAAGTATCCCACAGACTGCCATGGTGCTCCTAGGAGGCATGGGTGGTGACTCTTTTTCTCACATATTTGGTACATGTTGTAAGGAGAAGCCAGTCTTTGGAAAAAGATACTGTGATGAGATAGGTGGAGGGTCAGAAAAAAAAAAGAGAGAGAGAGACAGAACCTCAACAAGATGGATTGACACAGTGACTGTTAGTGGCTTGAGCATGTCAGAGATGGTGAGGCTGGGGCAGGGCAGGGCAGGGTGCAGATCTGTTGTTCATTGGGCCACTCTGAGGTGTAGTACACTCAGTGGCACCTAACAACAGGAATAATCTGAGAAATGTTGACAGTTCATTCTTAGAATATTATATATTTTCTTTTCAAAGAACAAAAACAATTTAGCCTCATTTTCATGGAAAATTTGTCTTAAGATGTTGAGGTAATTTCTTATGACTATTGTCATTTCTTTTGATGTCTTAGTATTACAAGTCACTCCTTTAATGTCTTTTCATGTGAAAATGAATGTAATTATTTTCCCAAAGCTTCCTTTTTTATGTAGTTCCATAAAATGTATTTAATTCCTAATAATGCTGAAGACAGTGCTAGTGTAAACTAGAATACAAAGATAAAACTTGGCTTTCCCTCCAAGAGCATGTGGTTAAATTTCTACATGAAATTTTACCTAGACATATAAGATAGAGAAAGTTGGATTCCTCTAGGACAAATCTGCTTAACTACTACACTTAATGTTTGTTCCATTATCTGACTGCATTTAAAATCCAGGATTGCAACTTTATAAACCTTCTCTAGTAGCGTAACCTTCAATATAAATTATATCTCAACATCAAAAAAACAAAAATCCTAACTGTTAGGCTGATAGGCAAGGCAATATCATGATAAATGGGGAAAAGATTGAAGTTGGCAGCAATTTCATCTTACTTGCATCTGCAGTAA